TTACCATAGTCTCTTGAGACTGAAGGATGGCTAATCTAAAAATTATGTTGGTTATGTTTAAGGTTTTGTCAGTTGTTAGACTTCCTCACAACTACAAAATGTGTTCTTTTCTCCTTTCCAGAACGCCCCTTCATGCAGCAGCCTTTACAGACCACGTAGAGTGCTTACAGCTTTTGCTTAGCCATAATGCACAAGTAAACACTGCAGATTCTTCCGGGAAGACCCCCCTTATGATGGCAGCAGAAAATGGTCAAACAAATACAGTTGGTAAAAAGAACATTCTAAATGTATTTTATTTTCATGACTATATACTGTTATTTTTTTAAATCCTGTATTAGAATCACAAAGAGTTTTGCGTAAGTAGAACCTAATTGATTTCAGAAATGCAAAGTTAATAGAGTCTTGCTGCATGATAAGACAAATAATAATGGCATAACATTTTGTAAATTGTAACCCATGTTTCCATTTCTGAAGAAATGGGCTGCAATCCATAATGGTTTGCTCCATTTAAAGTTGTTAGCCTTTCAGGTAGTACAAGACTTGTTGGTTTTACTGCAACAGATTAACATGGTACCCCTCTGCAAATTTCAAAAGTACAAAATAGCAACCACACTTCTTGTTCTTGTTAATAGCAAACAAATTAGATTCAGAACAACCACAAAAAAAAACTACAAAAGCTGAGTTCTGATAGATGTACAGTCCCTTTAAGAAATGAGTACGGCAGTGTCATACTTGCCTGGGCATGTTAAGCTGAAATGGGAGCTGTTTGCCACTTGGAAAGAGGCTTAAGGGTTAGAAAATATAGAACTGTGAATAACGGGGTAACAAAGAATTTTTTAGAAGAGGTTAATTGTGTGTTGAGAAGTCTCTCAAATGTAGTTGCATTTCAGAGTAGAGAACAACTTGTACTGACCTGTTTGTATTTAGATGGCTATAAAGAAGAAACTAGCCTTAGAAGAAATTGACCTTTTCTTTAATGTCAGACTTTGGTGTTTTTTTCAGAGGTGTTGGTTAGCAGTGCAAAAGCTGATCTGACCTTGCAAGACAAATGTAAAAACACTGCACTGCATTTGGCTTGCAGTAAGGTAATTATCATTTCTTGTTTTTGAAGCTTCTGTAGCTGAAATCTAGTCATGTAACTTGCACTGTGTAAGGCTGATGATGTCATCAGCTGGGATAGTGTTTCAAAAATGAAACCCCCTCCCCAAAGATCTGGAAGCTCCATTAGGTCCCTTTTATTGTGGGGAAACCATTGGGGGCTGTGGGACTCGGAGGTAGATTTTTTTATTTCTGAAAATTGCTGCTGGTGGTAAAATCATCCCAGCAGCTCCCAACAGCTTCCTAATGACTAATTATGCCTTTTCATTTTTCTTTTTTATTCTTAGGGTCATGAAACTAGTGCCTTGTTAATATTAGAGAAGATTACAGATAGAAATCTCATCAATGCTACAAATGTATCATTGCAAACGTAAGTTGGAATTATATCAACATTTTGGCATAATCATTCTAGAGTCTCCAGCATGGTGCTCATGACCACCACATTGCCCTATGGAAAACTGTTACCCTTTCTTTCCATGTTTTGTTGTCCAATCCTAATTTGCCAAAAGAAAAAAGAAAAAGAAAGAAAGAAAGAAAAGAAAAGAAAGAAAAAGCTTATAGTACAATATGTTGAACTTAGCTCACACCCCCAAAAATCACAAGTTGCGTGCTCCAAGATCATCTTGAGACATTATAATTTATATAAACTGATATAAAGGGGAGTTCTGTAGCTCTGCGACCCCATCATCCTTTCTGTCACCCATCTATTTGTGGAAGGCATTGAGTCTGAAAATGGGGAGCACTGTTGTCTGTGAGGGATCCCTATATCAGTTGAGCCCCAACAGATGTGGAGAGTGACCGTTCGTAGCAAAACTTCCTCTCTTTAGATCTGGCACCACCACATGTAGGGTGGTGATGAAACTAGCGCCTCGAAGGATGTGGTGGGAGGCCAGGCTAGAACCATTATGTGGTATATAGAGTAGATTTACTCCAATTAGAATGTCTAAGTAGAACTATCTCGCATTATACAGATTCACTATCTGTAGTTTCTCTGAATTATACTAAAAAGGCTGATTCTACAGTTTCATAACAAGCTAGTTAAAAATATCTTTTGATTTACAAATCAGTCTGTCTCACTCTTGAAGAACAAATTTTCTACTTTAGAAATTGTGAAGGCTTGCTTTAATTAGATATAGTTGCCTCCCCCCAAGAATTCAGATCTACTAATAAAATATGTTATTTTACAGTTAATCTTTGTATGCTGTCGCGATCCCCTCTGAAGTTCCTATCCCCCCAGGCCTTCATGAAGTTCTCGCTATTCTTTCTTCTTCGCTGCCACCAGATATTAATGCTTTAATATCAATTAAGTATTGAGACACGTGTGCTGTCAGAACATAAGTCTTTTATTTAACCAGGGAAGTTAATAATCAATACATACTAATGGGGTAGATTACAGGTTGCAAATCACTTATATTTGAATTGGTTAAGATATTGCTTCAAATCTCTTTTAACCCTCTGCTTCAATCTACACTCTTACAATTCTAACTCACTCTTTGTCCACTTGTAAGCCACACACAGTCTCTCTCTCTCCCTGACTCCATCCACCAGTCTTTTTATCCTGCTCCCTCCCCCCCAGCTCCGTCTTCCGTTCACTCATTGGCTCCTGTGTCAATGTTCTGCGGTGACGGGCAGGTGAGGTCAGGGCTGTTCGTTACACAAACACATTTTCTACTTTAGAAATTGTGAAGGCTTGCTTTAATTAGATATAGTTGCCTCCCCCCAAGAATTCAGATCTACTAATAAAATATGTCATTTTACAGTTAATCTTTGTATGCATTTAATTTGTTTATGTAGAGTATTGTCATAATGAATCGGTTTTCTCCCCAGGCCTTTGCATGTTGCGGCTCGAAACGGATTGACAATTGTAGTTCAGGAACTCTTAACGAAAGGAGCAAGTGTACTTGCAGTAGATGAAAATGGTAAGTAAATGGAAACAGGTGGAACTCTTTTAGTTAATAACAAAAGAAGAGCCTGTTGAATCATTTGATGTTATACATCATTCTGTTTTCAACAGTAACCAACCCAATGCTAAAAAAATACAACCCCAAAACAAAAACCTAATAGCCTGCTATTGAGAGATGCACTTTCTCCAAAGGTGGAGGTTTCATTAAGTTCTTATGCCCAATACTTGCTAGTTAGTCTAACTGCCCTCAAATTATCTAAAGCTATTGAAGTCAGTAGTCTCCAGCATGTACTGTGTATGTAAAGGCAGTAAAAGCCATTAAGTTTATAAGTAATATAAAGTGGTCTTTATTCTCAGGCCGAAAACTGCTACAAATCATTTTCAGTGAGCCCATATGCTACTGTTCAGTGTGTGCTGGGTTTTGATTGGGCCAATTTGCTCTGTTGTCTTCTATATAGGAATTAATTAAGTGACGTATGCTGCAGTTTTTTGTGTCCAGATTTCTGTGACCAAAATCCTGCTTGAAAAAGCAGTGTGTACAGTTCTCCCTTTTATCTGTCTTGCAGGCAGTCATTTGTGAAACTTGTTGTGCACCTAATTTCAGAATCAGAGTGTAACTAGTTGCAGAATAGACTGCCTGCCAAAAGGGAGAGACTGCTTGTATTATTCCTGTTGCACACATGGCTTTCCCCAACAGGTTTCTGGCCTGTACATTTTCAATGTATTTGGAATTACCACTAATTTAATGGCAAAAAGTTATACTAATAGAATATGGCAATAGGATGCTTATGCTGATCTTAAGCACCAAACATATGTGGTACATGCCTCCATGGTTTCCTGCTGTTTTCTCATATGTAATAGTATTTTGATATAGGCATATACAATAGTAGGGAGGATTGTGCTTTTTCCAGGATTTAGGAACATTTCTGCAGTGCTAGATTTCGTGCTTATAAAATCACAGACTAATCAACTGGGAATTCATTTTTAGCAGTCTAGCACAAGAAAATTGTGTTTTGTTACTTTATGAATTGATTTGACATACAGAAACTATACAAAAATATACAAAAATCTAACAACAATATCATGATTTCATTTTGACTCTAGGATACACACCAGCTTTGGCCTGTGCTCCCAATAAGGATGTGGCTGATTGCCTAGCTCTTATTCTGGCCACAATGATGCCTGTTTCGTCAAGCAGTACGTTACCTTCTCTTACATTCAATGCCATTAATCATTATACGAACACCTCAAAAACTGTTAACTTCGATTCTTTGCCAGTTATCAGGAGTGAACATAGTTCTTACTGTAGTTTCAACAACATTGGGAGGGAAGATGGCTACCCATATACAGAAGAAGATGAACTTAATGACTCAGATTCTGAAACTTATTAAGAAAAACTCCACTAGAGGTTTAAAGAGTGAACTTGCTGAATTTCAAGTTGTGTTGGAGAAGGCAGTCTTGTTGAAAATAAAAAGGACATCCTGAAAAGATGCTTTTTAAACATTGTCTGGGTACACGTGAAACATTTGTGGGACTCCCAAAAGACTTTTCAAAACAAGTTATGCAAAGAAAATGCTTGGAATCCACGGTGCAAAAAATTACATAGAATGTTATTTGCAGTGTACTGGGTGCCATGAATAATCCCAGCAAGGTTGAGCAGCACTGTCTGTATAAACGAATACACAGTTAGACAACAAAGAGGACAATAGAATTAAATGCTACCAATAAAACTAAGACCATTTTGAAGGCAATAATTGAGTTTGGTACAGAAGGCATTGTTTGTGCAGCAAATTGCCAAAGGACCAAATAACTTACTTTTCTAATTAAAGAAAATTTTTTTGAGAAAACTTGAATAGTTTAAATAAGTAATAGTCTTAACCAACCCTTAAATTAGTTCTATTAATCTTGAATTTGGTTTTAAATGTTGATATGTTTTTAATCATTTAACAGCCTTCCAACACTATTAAATGAAACATAAAGTGCAAACAGTATTTCCAGTTTGTTTTTCTTTTGAATAAAATGGAAAAAAAACTTTTAGTCTTAAGTACTGAAGCTGTAACTAGCTTAACCATGAGTAGTCAGGGCAGAATGTGTACAGAATAAAGGATGGGAAGACATTCATGTAGTCATTTATTGCATAGCTTTCTTTTGTTTACCAAAAATCCCTGCTGTTTTAAAGATATATTTTTATTCAAAATACAACATGGGTAGTTATTTAGGCAAGTGAAACTGCATCAGAAACAAAATGGCAATATCCTGATGCCCTGGTAAGCTGCCTTAGCGAAACTAAATTTTCTACAACTTGCCCAGTCTTCTACATCATAAAGTGAAATGGTGTATGTGCCTCTCTATGTATAATTTTTTTAACCCTGAGGTTTTTAAGGCACAGCATGTGGTAGGTGGGACAGGTTGCAATCAACTATTAAAAGATATAGTGTTGAATCGTTGGGAAATATATAAACTGCTTCAGTTTACAATTTATCAAACGATATCGGTCCCTCTGCCGTAATAAAAACTTGTCCTGAGTTTGTCTATAATAGGCTACTGAAAAAAAAGTTTTTAAAATGGCATTTTTCCTGACATCTAAATTGAAGTTTGATATTTGCTTTATTTCATTCTGCTTTAATTGAAAAGTAATTGTTGATTTATTACCTGGTTATGTACATGCAAGAACGCCTTGCATGTTGAAGTAAAAAACACTCTGATCCAAACCTTATTTTATCCTCTTTTTTGTATTGTGAAACTGGAAACCTTATTGCTGTTGTAAATTATCAGCTTGTTTTCTGAACATAGTGTGGAAACACAGGACAGTATTTTGATCTATTTGATAATTTTGTGGGTTTTTGAAAAATTAATGAGCATGTACATAGAAATAGCGACTGCTTGAATACTGTATTTACTTGCATTCTTTCAGTACATCAAGATTCCTGTGTATATTTTACAGAGTATAATAAAACCCAGATGTGAGAGTTGTATTTAATGAATAATTTGTGCATCAGTGTGGAATGATTAAGTGTTAATTCTTTAAAGGGCTTCTGATACTGAATGCCTCAAGATTTATAAATCCTATTCTGCAAAGTCTTTTTAAATCCTCTTGATTTCAAAGAAGTAGTTCAAGTGCTTAAGTAGTACTATGGAAGTTACTTAATTGATGTATTTTGATCAGTAGTTAACTGACTGAAATACTTCAGAGATTATATGTGTTAATGCTATTGGATGACTGACATGCCCAGGAACCTTTCCTTTTCTATATCACTGTCCTGAAAGTTCTTGGATAATATAAGCTAAAGCAGATTACTTACAGCCAGTTAATCAAAGTGTCTCTAGAATGGGTAATTCATCAGTCTAGTTGTGAATTAGGTTTATTGACCTTTCTGAGTGTTCTGGATAAAATACTTCCCTTTTACATTCAGATTAATTCTTTTTGTTTCTTGTAGTACTGTTTTCTGGAGACTGAAACTGCCAGATTTTGGTGCACTTAAAGTGATCAATGACTTTGATAAAAAATAGCTTTTAAGTTAAGATTTCTTCCACACTGGAGTCTTTAAGTGTTGTTGAAGTATTTTTTTAAATCAGTTGGGAATGGAACTAGAACAAACCATATTACTTAAAATATCAGCATATTACCCAGCAATACTCTTCATCGTGATTGCATATGTTCTGTTCAGCAAAGGTCCATTGAAGTGATAATTAAAGTTTTTTTTTCCTCTCCTGAAAACTTTCTATAGTGCTTAACTTGCCCACAGTGAATGGATTTGTGTTGATTTTTTTTAATTCTCTGAAAATTGCCTGGAAGCCATGTCTTAAACCGAAAAGAACATCAGAGACAACAAGGTAGCATTTTTGTAAGAACATCATACCGTATATGGATAGCAGTTCTAGAGGAAAGGGCTACTGTCAACCTAAAAGGCCCTTCATTTAATGTAGCATCTGGTGGAACCATGAAAGTCTCCAGCGCAGACTCTAAGGGGAATTTGCAGATGTAAATATTTGTTCACATGGGAATGGGCATTGGTTTCAGATGCTTCATTTTTTTGAAGCAAGGACTGAATTGCTAAATCTCAAATCCTTCCTCCACTTTTAAGATTTTTTGCAACTCTTTATGACTTCATGTTTTTCAACTCAAGCCTAAAACAAAAGACACATCCTTCAACTTGAGAGGCATCCAAAATCGGATGCTAGGTTTTTACCTGTATGCCCACTCTACTGTAAATTAAGAAACAATTATTAAGTGATTTTGCATGTGACATCGTTCTCTGAAAGAAAAGGCAACATGTCTAGTAGCTGGTCCCTTAAAAGTCCAAGCCACAATTGCCAGTTTGGCAATTTATCCATAAGCTTGCTTGGATTGGCAGATTGTAAGTCTCTCTCTGATATAATGTGGTGCTTTCCACTCTTCAAGTTATATTCAGTGCATGAACCAGCAGCATTCCCACACCTTTAAGACCAGGCTAATTAGAGCAAGGAACACATACTAAACAGAGCATTGCTGAGCAGAAAGGAAATGGAAGCAGCATCTGGTGGGAAGCATAGAAGTTATAGATTAGTGGAGTGCAGGTGACTGCAACAGTGCTGGTAAACAAAAACGAGGTGTCAGTGACAAGTAGGTTAGTCTGCTGTACACATAAGGATTACATAATAGTCCTCTTTATTAGGTATCCAAATTAATCATTTTGACAAATACCTTCTCATTGTAACAAACTCTTACTTGTCTTTCTCATACCATCGTCCATATAAACCTGCTGTTACTAAGCCAGAGGATCCTCCTTTCTTTTGCATCACATAGTAACTGTTTTTCCAGCCCAGATAATCAGCAAAGTCCAAAGTGACACCAGATCTTAACAACAGAGGAAAGACAAACACAGTACTGAAATTTCCTTTGAGCTGAAAATTTATCAGTCCGTTGGCCTCTGTTACTTCTTGTCCACAAGTTGTATAATTAACTCCACCACACTTCACTAATACACATGCTTGTACATAGTATGTTCCATGCACTATGTGTAAATCATCAAACACTCCTAAAACATAAAGTTCATCAGATAAAGCTAATCTCTGGTAACTTAAGTAACAACAAAGTGTATTGGAACAGATGTGGATATCTCCTTTAGGTTCTGTTAGGGGCCTTAAAGTAAAATTGTCATACATCATTTCGCCATAAAAGGGGTAAGCTTCCTTGGAGACTTCCTTTGCTATGCCATCACAAGCCTTCTTGTTCTCCTTATAGCAAACCTGAGTATCCATACGAATGCTTGAAAAACTCTCCTGTATTTCATTGACCAAGTGAGTTTCATGCTCTGATGTAACAGGGATCTCTGCCACTATAAGCTTACCACTAAAGCTTTCTGTATCATAATAAGCAAAAGACTTTGATGGTGTATATATACCACTGCCTGTCATACCCAAATCAGGATGATGGATATTTGCTGCCAAAAGATTAATGTTAAAAGCAGTTGCAAAAGCTTGTTGAAATTCTACAGCTGACAGGAGTGGCAGCTGGTTCATCCATGCAGTAGGATAGGCAACTTGTTTTACATTGTGTTGCATGATAAGGTTCACAGCTGGTTCATAAAACAGGATATCAAAACAAGTAAAGATTCCAAATTTGCCTGCAAAAGGTGTATCAAAAATTGTGTAATCAATCTCTGGTGGAATATTGAAGGCATACTCAAAATACAGGTTTTGTTTTCGGTATCTAGCTATGAGTGTACCACTCTCACTAAATACTACATCAGTGTTAAAGTGGTATCTTCCATCTGGTGGGCAATAGGGATCACTGTGTGTGCAGAACTGTTTAGTTCCCATGTTTGCCACTAGAAACACTTGATTCTTCAGTGCCATGCAGCTGAGTCGATGGAGAACCTGCAAAAACAGTATGTATTTTTAAAGAAAAGGAAGTAAATCCTGTTGCAATGCAGAGAAGTATTGAACTATTCAATTAATAGGCTAGACTTACAAATTTAATAATACACTTATAGCTGATTTTTTTATGTGGAAGGGTTCTGTATGAAAATATGTCCATTGTCAAAGTGCAAACGGCACAATTCTAATTGTTTACTTGAAAACAAGTACATTGGAATTCAGCAGTGTTTGCTTTGAGAAAAAATTGTACTCTTAAGATAAACATATTGAGAACTAGTGCCACAAGCAGTTATTCATTACTTGTTACAAAACTTCTGAAATGTTATCCAGAAAATATTAAATTATTGTGTTGAAATGTCCACTATCATTATGCTAGGCTGAATTCACGCTTCAAAGACCCTTGAAATCAATGGGATTTGGTTTGTTGTAAGTTGAAGTCTGGATCCTGTTCACTACTTCTAAATGTGACATAAAAAGGGAGATAAACACCCAAATCATCATGTTTCTCTGATCAATTTGCTTTACAGTAATCAACACATGTTTAGTATTAGAAGATGAGCAACATGTCTATTTACAATAATACTTTTGTTTGTTTTATTTATATGCTGTCTTTCTCCCAGAATTGGGACTCAAGTGCCAAATTACAAAGAATTAAAATAAGATTTAATTCCTTATATTAAAATTAAAACACTTTAAAATATTTGACTAAAAATACTAACAGAAGATTACTTTTAAAAAAGATACAGAAATTTGGTACAATTTTATTGTTTTGAGGCACTTCATTTCTAAAGTCCTTCCTGAATAAAATGTTCTGTCTCTGCCTACTGCCAGAAGAACAAGGAGGGGGTAAACCTTACCTCTCTTTTCAATGAGTTCCAGAGCCTCAGCATGGCCACATAGAGTCCTCAACAAACAGGCCTCTGAAAGTGGTGAGACTTGAGAGACAGGCCTCTCCAGCGGATCTTAAAGCTTGGGGCAGGTTTGTGTGGGAGGATACAGTATTTCAGATCACTTGGGCTCAAGTAGATAGGGCTTTAGAGGTCCTAACCAGCATTTTGAAATGTGTCTGGAAATGGACAGGTAGCTAGTGCAAATTTTGTCGAAATAGAGTTATATGTTCCCTGTAAATGGCCCAAGCCAATAGTGTGAGTGCACAGTTTTTGACTAGCTGAAATTTCTGAATATTTTTTAAAGGCAACCCCCAGGTAGACCACGTTAAGAGTAATCACACCAGGATGTAACTGCAGCTAAATCATGCAGATCCAGGAATTGGAGCAATTGTTACACAAGCTTTAATTGTGCAAATGTACTATTGGCCAATGAAGAGAGCTATAGGCTCAGGGATGAATCCAGGAGTACAGCAAAGCTGTACACCTTTGATTTCAGAGGAAGAGTAATACTATCCAGCATAGGTTGAATTCCTATTCCTTGAACTGCCTTTAAGCTAATCAGGAGCGCCTCTGTCTTGTCTGTTCACATTCATGCAATCCATTATTGACTCCAGACCCTGGTTTTGGACCAAAACAGCTTCCTCAGATTTAGATAGAAAAGAAAGAGTTTGGTCTCATCAGCATATAGGTAGCACTGATCTCCAAAATTCTGGATAATCTCTCCCAGTGAGTTTCATGTACAAGTTAAATAGCACATGGACCAAAAACAACCCTAAACAGAAAAAGGGACAAACAAAAGTCCCCAGCACCACCTTCTGAGATTGGCCCTTCAAGAAGGATTGGACCCACTGTAAGTCAGTGATGCCAATTCCCATCCCAGAGGGAGAACCAAAAAGGAAACCATGGTCAGTGGCATTAAACCAGAATGAACAGAGACACGCTCCCTGACCAGCTTCTGACATAGGTCATTCACAAAGAAAACCAATGCCATCTCCATCTATAGCCAGGCCTGAGGTTAGATTGATGGGTCTAAATATTTCACCCAGGAATGTCTGGAGCTTAGAGGTCACTATATAGTCAAGCATATTTGGACAATACGGCAAATAGAATTTCAGTGAGAGAAATCAAAAATATCTACAAACTATTTCATTTGTTTTAAACTCACCAGGTTTGAAATGATTCTTCAAGCAGACAATTGTTTAATCTACACAAAAACAGTGTTGTATGAAGTGTACCAAACCCACTTCACTTGTAATATTTGGGGCTATGAGCATGGTGCTTAAATCCAGCAGTAGCCCTTCTGGACAACCCATGACACCTGTTCAAGGAAGCCAAATACAGCCCTACCTGAAGACATAACCAGAACAGCCAGAGACGAAGGTCATAATATATTTGACTTGGGATGTCTGATGACGTTACTGTGGGCTTATTCAGAAAAGGAAGTGAACTCATGCAGTGTGAATGCATATATTTTTGAAACTGTTAGGTTCTCTTAAAAATACATTAAAGGATAAGTAAAAATGACGTGGTGGTGCTGTGGGCTAAACTGCAGAAGCCTGTGCTGCAGGGTCAGAAGACCAGCAGTCGTAAGATTGAATCCACGCGACGGAGTGAGCTCCCGTCGCTTTGTCCCAGCTCCTCGCAAACTTAGTAGTTCGAAAGCATGCAAATGTGAGTAGATAAATAGGTACCACCTCAGTGGGAAGGTAAAACGGCGTTCCCTAGTCACGCTGGCCACGTGGCAATGGAAACTGTCTTTGGACAAGCGCTGGCTCTACGGCTTGAAAATGCGATGAGCATCGCCCCCTAGAGTCGGACATGACTGGACTAAAAATGTCAAGGGGAACCTTTACCTTTACTAAAAAGGATGACTGTATTTCCTGAAGGACTAAGTTGGGGGTCTATATAAATAGGAAGTACAGTGGTGCCCCACATAGCGATGTTAATCCGTTCCAGATTAATCGTCGCTATCCGGAAACATCGCTATACGGATGGAAAAACCCCATAGGAACGCATTAAACTTTGTTTAATGCGTTCCTATGGGGGGGAAACTTACCGCTAAGCAGGAATTCTCCATCCGGCTGCCATTTTCGCCACCTCGGTAAGCGAGGGCAGCGCACAAAAATGGTTGCAGTGGCCATTTTTGAACTGCCAATAAGCTGTGTGAAAATGGGGCCTTTGGGAGGACCAAAGCCCCCATTTTCACACAGCCGGCCAAAGCGCTTTGGAACGGCGGCGGGGGAGCCCTCCCCCGCGGTTGCTCTGAAGCGCCTGCGGCAAAAATGCCGTGAAAACACACACACAAACCACGAACATAACCCCCCCAGTCCAAACCCACCCTCCAAAATCCACACAGAAAAGTTTTTTTTAAAGGACTTACCGGTCCGAAGCCTCCTGGCGCTCTGATGGCTCTGCGCGGCCGGGGGCGAGCAGCCAGGGCCCCGGCCTGCTCTAGCCGCCCGGAGCTCCGCTGCCTTTGGAGCTTTCAAAGGACTTCCTCCAATGTTGGGGAAAGCCCTTTGAAACCTCTGAAGGCACCAATCGCGGCGGCGAGGACCCCCAGGGAGGTCTCCGATGGTGGCGTGCAAGCCCTGGGAGACCTCCCCAGGGTGTCCCCACCGTCGCGAGGAGGAACCAGCGTTGCTTGCAAAGGAGGGAAACGATTCCTCCCTGCCTGGCTGAAGCAAGCTGGCGGCCACTCCGACACGTCCGCCAGGGTTCTATGGGGAAAAATTGCAAAGCGATTTTTCCCATAGAAAACACTCCGACGCGCCTGCCCAAAAATGCCGGCCGGCCAGCGCTTCAGAGCGGCCACGGGAGAGATCCCATAGGAAATATCGCAATGCGATCGCAAAAAATGAATCACTATGCGGATTCATCGTTAAACGGGGCACTCGTTATGCGAGGCACCACTGTATTGGTATGATTGTGGCTGAAGTAGATTAGGATGTCTAAAGCAATCAATAACCAAACACACTGAAGGGACAAAAAATCAATAAATATATATTTATATGGTTGTTTGCATTCTCACTGACCTTGTATGCCTTAAATGCTGAACATGGAACTACAGTGGTGCCTCGCTTAATGGGCGCCCCGTTTAACAACGAATCCACATAGCGATGAAGATTTTGCGATCACATTGCGATGTTACCTATGGGGATGTTCTA